GGAGCAACCTGCTCTGGTGGAAGGTGTCCCTGCCCGTGGCAGGGGTTGGAGCTGGAGGAGCTTTAAGGTCCCTTCAACCCAAACCAGGCTGGGATTCTATGTCAGGGCTCTTTGGCTCTTACACAGTGTGCCTGACATCATTAATTACATCCTTGTAGTTGAGACCAAAGCTCTTGGGTCAGGAAAAGCACATGATAGTGATCGAGAATGATCCTCTGTGTTGAGGATCCCATACTCAGGGTTATTCTCTTCTCCAGCTGAATATGCTTTTGGCCAGGGCCCACTCTCTTCCAAGATGTTTTTGACTTGGAATGAAGACCTTGATGGTTTGAGACATTTTTTTCCCCTTGTTGCAAACACACAGGTCTGTGCAGTTTTCAGAGTGACTCCAGAAATTTTAAGAGCCAAATTAAACGTATTTCAAGATGAAAACCAGCTGATTCTGCTCAGAAGTTGTTGGGGTGGATTTTTTTTCTGTAAAGAAACTGTTTATCATAAGCATTGAAAACACTCTTGTCAATGTTCTAATCTAAGCTCTCTCGGAAAGGCAATTATTGATGTTTTCTGAGCTGTGTGTGTTGGTGTGGCTCTGCTGTAAACTTCTGTTACTGTTATTTTTTGTTTTCAAATTGAACTCTCAAATGAGAGCCAAAATGGCACCGTTTTTGCCTAAATCCACAGGTGACAAACTCTCTGGAGCTAAAAGTGTTACTCTCTCTCTTGCTGTCCAAACGGACTGCTCTTCTTTTAACTGCTGTTCTGCCCAGGCAATGGGAATACACCGAAATGTGCACCTGAGGAGCCTTGTGAGCTTAGACCCTACCAGAACACAACTGTGTAGTTCCATTTCACAGAAATCCTATTGCTCCCCATCACCCAGGAGATGAGGAGTTCTGTTAACCTCCAGTTGGCACTTTCTGTTAATACCTGAATTTCTCTAACATGCACATAAGGGATGTGCTTTTGAATCACTCGAATACTTGAGCTGCAGTTCATTTTCGGAAGGGAATTGAAATCTTTGAGCCTAAAGGTGCTGTTGGAAATGCAAACGTGGTTTTGTGAGCAGGTGGGAAGTGGCAGGGGAAGGCAGGCTGTGCTTCGCAGGCTCACCCTGGACACTTGTCTGGAGGAGTGCTGAGTGCTTCTGCCACATAAGCACCAGAAATATTCCTTTAATAGTATGTTGGCAGACTGTGTTTCGGTTGTTTCAGTTTGGGCTGTCAGGAGAGAGACTGCAAGCATTAAAAAGCCAAGAGTTCAGCTCAGCTCTTCAGGAGCCAGATTTAAATATCAAGCTTTCATATTAAACAATGTTCCCATCTGGTGTTCATTGTCCTGGACGGTATGTGTGGCCTCTCAGTGAGGAACAGGGCTGGAAGCAGAGCACCACATTACAGGTTTCTTCTGAGGTGTGTGCAGGTGGCTCCTGGGTGCTCCCTTGACGTTTGGCATTTGGGTGGTGGATAAATTGCTTTGTATAAATCCATTTCCAGGCCCTGTGTGGTGCAGGAAGGCCCTGTGTGTAGCCTCTTTTGTTATTTTTTTGCTTGACTGACCTTGTAAAATACACCCTGTGCTGCCTTTGGTTTTTTGTTTGCTGAAGACAGGACCAAGTCATCACGATGCCGGCGCTACCTCTGGATGAACTCCAGCTGACAGAAAGGGATCCCAAAACAGGGAAGATGAGAACTTTACCAGCACTGGTGAGCTGTCTTTTTCCTCAAAGCCAAAACAAGACCTTTAATAAATAATCATCTTATGTTAAAGCCTGGGTAAAACTACCCTTTGTCTGGGATATGATGAAATTTGCTAAGTTTGCCTGTTACAAGAAGGTTTTTTGTGTTTTAGTGCATTCAAACAGTTGAGATTTTGTTTACCCACTATTGGGGGGAAAAAATAGACAACTAAAACTTACTGTGTTCAACATCAGCAGCAAACTGTGTCCTCCAGAACTACTTATTCTTTTGAGGAGCAGCAATGTAAACTTGGCTGCAATAGAGGGAATGCTTTGGGAGCTTTTGCACGCTCTGTGTAAAGTTTAGCTCTGAGCTATAGCACTGGGATAATTCCATCCACTCCCTGTATCCCATGACCTCCCACCCTGTGGCTTCTGCTTGGTGAAATCAGGAAATTCAATCCATGTAATCCTTTTCTCCCAGAAATGAGAGAAAGGAGAGGGTCTTGTGGGCACATTGCAGAAGCGGGCTGCTGGCTTGAGGAGGTTCACACGTACCTGGGTGTACATGTGGATTAAGACAGAGCTTGAAGCTGCTGCTTGCTCTTCAGTGTGATTCTCATTCTAGGCTGGGAGAATTTGGGCAAAGCCTGTTTGGTAACCTTTGGGGAGGGCAGTGAAATGCTGCTTCTCTCTGTTTGGTGACTGTGTCAGTTTGACTTCATGGAATGTTGTGCAAGAACCAGTTAGGAGGGAAAAGAGAGAGCACAGCCGTGCTTCAGAGGCACAGCACCACGCGGCTGCTGTTTGTTTTGAAGGTGTGGGAGGGCTGCTTTGCAAGGCTTTGGTTAACAGAGTGCAAGGAGCAACGTCTACCACATTATGAAGGCCTGAAAACGTTGCTGATAAACAAGGATACAAACCTGCTGATAACCTGCCCAAGAGAGTAGAAAATGGGAAATTACCAGGGATCTGAATGGCAAATTGTATTCAAGTCCAATTTGGTGTTGGTTTCCTAATTCAGTGGGCAGTGCAC